ATTAGGTTTCTTTCTTGTTTTCCTAAATGTAAATTGGTAAACTTCAGGAACAAGCTCATAAGCATTTGGTGTTGCACTTTTAACAGCTTCATAGTCTGCAGATTGCTCTTCTAACAAACTAATGTACAGATTCACAGGTGTACCTATCAAGACACACTATAACATTAAGGTCCAAACATGTTTTGATCACTTCATCTTCTGATCTTCCATTTCAAAATCAATGAAAAATCCTTGCCCAATGCATCATTGGAAACAGAATCATCTTTTTAGAGATAACAATGTGTAGAGCTGGATGAACACAGCAGACAGGCAGCATCAGAGGAACAGGAAAGCTGATGCTTCGGGGCTGGACCCTTCTTCAGAAATGGGGGAGGGGAAGGGGACTCTGAAATAAATAGAGAGGCGGGGGGAGGCAGATAGAAGGTGGATAAAGGAGCAGATAGGTGGAGAGGAGACGGACAGGTCAAGGAGGTGGGAATGAGCCAGTAAAGGTGACGGAGTTAGGATGGGGGTTGGTCAGTCAAGGAAAGACAGAAGGTAAAGGAGGTGGGGATGAGGCTGGGTGGGTAGGAGGTGGGGTGGGGGTTGGTCAGTGAGATGGGAGGATCGGATAGGTGGGAGAAATGACGGACAGGTCAAGGAGGCGGGGATGAGCTGGGTTGGTTTTGGGATGAGGTCGAGGGTGGGAAGATTTTGAAGCTTGTGAAGTCCGCATTGAGACAATTGGGCTGCAGGGTTCCCAAGCAAAATATAAGGTGCTGTTCCTGCAGCCTTCGGGTGGCATCCTTGTGGCACTGGAGGAGGCCCAGGATGGACATGTCATCCAAGGAGTGGGAGGGAGAGTTGAAGTGCGACTGGGAGGTGCAGTCGTTTGTCACAAACTGAGTGCAGGTGTTCCACAAAGTGGTGTCCAAGCCTCCGCTTGGTTTCCCCAAATTGGGGAGGCCACATTGGGAACAGCGGATACAATAGACCACATTAGCAGATGTGCAGGTGAACATCTGTTTAATGTGGAATGTTTTCTTGGGGCTTGGGATGGAGGTGAGGGGGGAGGTGTAGGGGCAGGTGTAGCACTTCCTGCGGTTGCAGGGAAAAGTGCCAGGGGTTGTGGGGCTAGTGGGGAGCGTGCAGCAGACAAGGGAATCACAGAGAGGGCGGTCCCTCCAGAAGGCAGATAAGGATGGGGAGGGAAAAATGTCCTTGGTGGTGGGGTCAGATTGCAGTTGGCGGAAGTGGCGGAGGATGATGCGTTGAATCCGGAGGTTGGTGGGGTGGTACGTGAGGACGAGGGAAATTCTGTCTTTGTTGTTATTGCGGGGAGGGGGTGTGAGGGATGAGTTGTGGGAAATGCAAGAGATGAGCCGAGGGTGTTTTCAACCACTGTGGAGGGAAACTTGCGGTCCTTGAAAAACGAGGACATCTGAGATGTACAGGAGTGGAATGCCTCATCTCGGGAACAGATGTGGTGGAGGCAAAGGAATTGGGAATAGGGGATGGCATTCTTGCAGGAAGATGGGTGAGAGGAGGTGTATTCTAGGTAGCTGTGGGAGTCAGTAGGCTTGAAATAGATATCGGTTTCCAGGTGGTTGCCAGAGATGGAAGCAGAGAGGTCCAGGAAGGAGAGGGAGGTATCGGAGATGGTCCAGGTGAACTTAAGGTTGGGGTGGTAGGTGTTAGTAAAGTGGATGAACTGTTCGAGCTCCTCGTGAGAGCACGAGGTGACACCGATACAGTCATCAATATGATGGAGGAAGAGGTGGGGGATGGGGCCAGTGTAGCTGCGGAAGAGGGACTGTTCCACGTATCTTACGAAGAACCAGGCATAGCTTGGGCCCATGCAGGTACCCATGGCCACCCCCTTTGTCTGTAGGAAGTGGGAGGAGTTGAAGGAGAAGTTGTTAAGGGTGAGGACGTGTTGAGCGAAGAGGATAAAGGTGTCAGTGGAGAGGGACTGGTCGGGACTGCGGGAGAGGAAGAAGCAGAGGGCCCTTACGCCATCTGCATCGGGAATGCAAGTATATAGGGACTGGACGTCCATGGTGAAGATGAGGTGTGGAGGACCAGGGAATCGGAAGTTTTGGAGGAGGTGGAGGGCGTGGGTGGTATCACGGACGTAGGTGGGGAGTTCCTGGACCGGGGGAAGAAAATGGAGTCGAGATAAATGGAGATAAGTTTGGTGGGGCAGGAGCAGGCAGAAACAATGGGTCAACCAGGGCAGTCGGGTTTGTGGATTTTGGGAAGGAGATAGAAACGGGCAGTGCGCGGTTGGGGAACGATGAGTTTGGAGGCTGTGGGTGGTGGGAGTTCGCCTGAGGTAATGAGGTTGTGGATGGTCTGGGAGATGATGTTTTGGTGGCCGGGGGTAGGGTCATGATCAAGAGGGCAGTAGGAGGCGGTGTCAGAGAGCTGGCGTCTGGCCTCAGCGATGTAGAGGTCAGTGCGCCATACTACAACTGCGCCACCCTTGTCCGCGGGTTTTATAGTGAGGTTAGGGTTGGAGCGGAGGGTTGCACGTTCTATGGGGGAGAGGTTGGAGTGGGTGAGAGGGGTGGAGCAGTTGAGGCGACTGATGTCTCGATGGCAGTTGGAGATGAAGAGGTCAAGGGAGGGTAGATAGGGTAGAACAGTCACTCTTCTGCAGCTACACTGGCCCCATCCCCCATCTCTTCCTCTGTTATATCAATGACAGTATCGGCGCCGCATCGTGCTCCCACGAGGAGCTCGAACAGTTCATCCACTTTACTAACACCTTCCACCCCAACCTTAAGTTACCTTTACTGGCTCCATCCCCGCCTCCTTGACCTGTCCGTCTCCTCTCCACGTATCTGCTCCTTTATCCACCTTCTATCCGCCTCCCCGCCTCTCTCTGCTTATTTCAGAGTCCCCTTCCCCCCCTCCAGACCAAAACGTCAGCTTTCATGCTCCTCTGATGCTGCCTGGCCTGCTGTGTTCATCCAGCTCTACATATTGTTATCTCAGATTCTCCAGCATCGGCAGTTCCTACTATCTCATCTTCTTCTTTTTTCTGTCTTTTAAGCTCCTTTTTCTGAAAATCATGTTATCTGATTTCTCTCTCTTTTTGAATTTTAAGCTTCTAAAATTCCATTTCCATTGTCATTTTCTTTCCATCCTCTCCTCTCTCTCTAAGTCAAGGTATTTCATTTCTAACTGAATCTTAGCCAAATCGAGCTGTGAAATCTCCATCTCATAATTCCCTCCTTTTAATTTTATTGCTGCATAGTAACATTAACCATTTCATCCTCATGAGATCCTGATTTAATTTGTACCTTCAATTAAACTGGTATCTCTCCCAGTTCAGCCTTAGTCAAGATTTCAAATAATCTACTATAATGCCTTTTCATTCCAGAAAACACTGAGCAACATTCAAAACCATTTTGAATTTACAATGTATTCAATAACCTTCACCATAACACAATGGTTTCATGTCCAGTACCTCCATGTACCAATTTCTTTAAAAGAGGCATAGATTTCTATTAAATTCAATGATTTATATTAGTACAAAGTAGTACACTTGTACTATTGGACAAATCAGATCCCAGAAAGAAACAAAAACAGAAATTGTTGGAAAAACTCAGCAGGTCTAGCAGCATGTGTGGAGAGAAATCAGAGTTAAAACTTTTTGGGTCCAGTGATCCTTCTTCATAACAGATAGTAGCTAGGAAAAAGTTGATACTTATACAAAGATGGGGTAGGTGCGGGGGGATGGGGGAATGTTATGGACCAGACCAAACCCTCTCAAAACTTGTCAAGGAGATAGCCTACACCCTAACGTTTTCTTACTTTAAAGGCAAGTGCCAGGCGTTGCAGTCTGGATGCAATTTGATTGGTCAAACTACTGGGCTTGAAGCAAAACACACTTTATTCATTCAGTATAGTTAAGATACAAACAAAAGAAAGAAGGATTTGAATAACTTACCTCTATTGGAAAACTTAACAGAATGATAGATTATTCAATTACTAAACAGCAACTGTTCTAATATAATAACATCCCATAAACATAGCCTTGGCAAAGGCAAAATCAGTAAAATAGATTATCTCACATGCAATTCCAGCAGCAGGAAGAGAACGCCAGCTTTTAGCTGTAGCAAAGAGAGAGAGATGTAGCAGCTTTCACAACCCACAGCTACTGAAAGCTAAAACTAAAATCTTGGTTCTGTGGGAGTTTGACCCCACTCATTCAGGCTGATTCTGTTGTTCCAACTTGAAAAAACCCCAGACCTCACAAGCTGAGATAACAAGGTGTAGAAAGCTGGATGAACACAGCAGGCCAAGCAGCATCAGAGGAGCAGGAAGGCTGACGTTTCGGGCCTAGACCCTTCTTCAGAAATGGGGGGAGGGGATGGGGGTTCTGAAATAAATAGGGAGAAAGGGGGAGGCGGATAGAAGATGGATAGAGGAGAAGATAGATGGAGAGGAGACAGACCGGTCAAAGAGGTGGGGATGGAGCCAGTAAAGGTGAGTGTAGGTGGGGAGGTAGGGAGGAGATAGCTCAGTCCAGGGAGGATGGACAGGTCAAGGGGGCAGGATGAGGTTAGTAGGTAGGAGATGGGGGTGGGGCTTGAGGTGGGAGGAGGGGATAGGTGGGAGGAAGGACAGGTTACGGAGGCGGGGACGAGCTGGGCTGGTTTTGGGATGCGGTAGGGGGAGGAGAGATTTTGCAGCTTGTGAAGTCCACACTAATACCATTGGGTTCCCAAGCGGAATATGAGTTGCTGTTCCTACAACCTTCGGGTAGCACTGTTGTGGCACTGCAGGAGGCCCAGGATGGACATGTCATCTGCGGAATGGGAGGGGGAGTTGAAATGGTTCGCGACTGGGAGGTGCAGTTGTTTAGTGCGAACCGAGCGTAGGTGTTCTCCAAAGCGGTCCCCAAGCCTCCGCTTGGTTTCCCTGATGTAGAGGAGGCCGCAACGGGAACAGCAGATGCAGTATACCACATTAGCCATCTTCAGGACTGGAACAATGAATGTTCCATGTACCTCACAAAGAGAAAGGCATAACTGGGGCCCAGGCAGGTACCCATGGTCACACCTTTGACCTGACCATTGACCTTTGGCATCTCTGCAAGACTGTGGCAGAGCAGGCTTGTCCACTCTGTCTGCTCCTCTTCTTCCATTTCTTTTTTCCTCCTTTTCTCATTTATCTTCTCCTTTCTTCAGTTTTACTTTTTTTAAAGTTTATTTTCTATTAACTTACCTTCTGGAGAGAAACAGTAGTGGCTGTGGTGTCGGGCTCGTGGAATTTGCAAGTCAGCTATATGTCCAATGTGAGGCGTGGCTGGGGGCCTGACCTGGGATTCTCAGTGAGTATTCGATGCCCAGCACATGAACCAAAGGAAAGGCTGAGGATTGGTGCGTGGACCAAAAGGCAATGCTGAGTATCAGTACAGACTGTGCCTGGATCGGGGCTTTGGCGGTCTGAGATCCAATGCAGCGATGGAGATTTCCTGACATCTGCACCAACGACAATAACAGAGGAGATCGAGCCAGCATGGGGAAAGCGTGCCAAAGCAGAGGAAATCAAGCCCATGTAGGAAGTGCAGTCCCAGCAGGGCTCAGCACCTAAGAAAGACTGCAATGGTTGAACTTTTAGATTTACTTTTCTATTTAATATTAAGAAAGACTGTAATGTTTAACTTTAAACTTTACTTCTTTTTTGTACACTATACTCAGACTGACTATAATGTTTAGCCTTTAACTTTGTTCCTTATTTCTTTTTACCTTGTTCTTAAGTCTTTGTACCTAGATACATGAACCTAAGATGGCACTGTGTGTAGCAACATTGAAAACATTTCACTGTACTCCGAGATAACAAGGCGTAGAGCTGGATGAACACAGCAGGCCGAGCAGCATCAGAGGAACAGGAAGGCTGACATTTCGGGCCTAGACCCTTCTTCAGAAATGGGGGAGGGGAAGGGGGTTCCGAAATAAATAGGGAGAGAGGGGGAGGCGGATAGAAGATGGATAGAGGAGAGGATAGGTGGAGAGGAGACAGACAGGTCAAAGAGGCGGGGATGGAGCCAGTAAAGGGGAGTGTACGTGGGGAGGCAGGGAGGAGATAGGTCAGTCCAGGGAGGACGGACAGGTCAAGGGGGCAGGATGAGGTTAGTAGGTAGGAGAGGGGGGTGGGGCTTGAGGTGGGAGGACGGGATAGGTGGGAAAAAGGACAGGTTAGGGAGGCAGGGACGAGCTGGGCTGGTTTTGGGATGCGGTAGCGGGAGGGGAGATTTTGAAGCTTGTGAAGTCCACATTGATACCATTGGGCTGCAGGGCAACTACCTAGAAACCGATATCCATTTCAAGCCCACCGACTCCCACAGCTACCTAGAATACACCTCCTCCCACCCACCCACCTTCCTGCAAAAATGCTATCCACTACTTCCAATTCCTTCGCCTCCGCCGCATCTGCTCCCAGGATGAGGCATTCCACCCCCGTACATCTCAGATGTCCTTGTTTTTCAAGGACCACAACTTCCCCCCCTCAGTGGTCGAGAACACCCTCGACCGTGTCTCCCGCATTTCCCGCAACTCATCCCTCACACCCCGTCCCCGCAACAACCACCAAAACAGAATCCCCCTCGTCCTCACGTACCACCCCACCAAACTCTGGATCCAACTCATCATCCTCTGACACTTCCGCCATCTGCAATCCGACCCCACCACCAAAGACATTTTTCCCCTCCCCACCCTTATCTGCTTTCCGGAGGGACCACTCTCTCCGTGACTCCCTTGTCCGCTCCACACTCCCCTCCAGCCCCACCTCACTTGGCACTTTTCCCTGCAACTCCAGGAAGTGCTACACCTGCCCCTACACCCCACCCCTCACCCCCATCCCAGGCCCCAAGAAGACTTTCCACATCAAGCA